TGTTGCCAGCAGATCAAGGGAGATGATCCTTTCCTTTGACTCCAGCACTGGTGAGGCACATCTGGAATGGTGCGGCCACTTTTGAGCTCCCTAGTACAAGGGAGAACCACTGGAGTGGTTCTAGCAAAGGACCACAAAGATGATTAAGGGACTTGGAGAATCCGACATGCAAGGAGAGGCTGAGAGATCTGGGATTGTTCAGCCTGGAGAAGAGAAGACTGAGAGGGGAGCTTATCAGTGTATATAAATACCTAATGGGAGGAGTAAAAAGACAGAGCCAGGCTCTCCTCACTGGTACCCAGTGACAGGACAAGAGGCAATGGTCAAAAGTTTAAACATAGGAAATTCCATTTAGACATAATAAAAATTTTTGTACTGAAAGGGGGATCAAACACTGGAATAGGTTGCCCAGAGAGATTATCTCCATCCTGGAGATATTCAGAACCTGAGCAGACGTGGTCCTGAGCAACCTGCTGTAGCCGACCCTGCTTTAAGCAAGCAGATTGGACTAGATGATCTCCAGAGGTGCCTGCCAACCTCAAAAATTCTACGGTCAGATGTTTCAATTATGCTACAGAAGGTGGATGATACTTTACAAAAAAGGATGATGAAAGGGAGAGAGTGAGAGGGAAGAGCAGGCTAGCTGCTTGCCATTAAGGAACCAGTCATCTTAGCTGGGTCAACACACCACGATTCAAGGTCCAAAGTTCATGACTTTGCTCTGAGTAAGCACAAAGTGTTGGATTCTCTTTTATCTTATTTCGTCACATGAAATAATTACTTAGTCTGCAAAAGACTGAATCTCAGTCTAATAATCTTTATTCCTTATTTCTGGAAATTTCCTTGATGAACTAACTAGAACTAGAGAGTGCAGATGGACATGGAAAGAAGAAATAACACAAAGTAGTGAGAAACCAACAAGTGCCTTGATTTATCACCATATTTTTAGTAAAGAGTCGAAAAGGTGATGTTTTGGCCATTCAGCCAGCCCTGGAGAACTAGACTTGCTATGATGGTAGCTTGCGTCATGACAGAGAATCTTTCCTGCACGTGTAGGTATTGTTGAATGCAGAGGCCAACTAGCACTGAAAAAATGACAGAAGGGGATATTTCTGCAGACTGCATCACACACTGCAAAACACAAAAACAGTGGTAAAGTGGAGAGCAGTGAGTATACACCTCAAGCAACGTTCACACTTTTCGTATTTGAAAGCCCCTTTTCAGATGACTATCTCTTACTTTCTATATTCTAAAGATGAGGATAGTCAAGACTATAGTCATGATTCATGAGCATATTCTAAAGATGAATAGCTCGGACTTTTTATAAATCTAAAGAACATACAGTAAACTGTAAGAACAAAGTTTGCTAGTAGAACATGATATGGTGGAATCAAATGAAGCATCTGGACAAAGAATTGCCACAATACTGCGCTACAGCCTTCAAGAAAAAAGTAAAAGGCAACTAACTCTAGCTTCACCTTCCTTTCACCACAGTACACAAGAAGTATGTCTTTCTAATTGAAAAGCCTTGTCCCTTTTTAAAAACAGAGTCCCTATAAGGTAAATTTACATGGATTGTACTTGTCCCTGCCCCTTATTTTTACTAGGAGCAGAGATACAGAGTGGGCTTTTCTGCTGATGTTGAATAATTTGAAATAAAACAAAAACTTAACATTCATTAGCCTAAACTTGTATTGGAAAATGTTATCATTTCATACATATAATAGCACTGGTGAACTTTTTTCTTAAACTGATCTATACATACAGCCTCTCTCTCTCTATATATATACATTTGAGTGCCTCAATGATTTACTGCAACAGATTTCTACAGTTAGGAATTTCTTAACCAAAAGATTCTCAAAGGAAGCAGTTTAATGCAAACTCTCAATATGTCACATTTTGGCAGTGATTGCTTAATGCAGCAGTGCACTAATGAATTGCTCCACTGCATCCTCTGATCATGAATATGAATCAGAGTACTATAAACTGAACTCAATGTACTGATAAGTGACTGTATCTGATTGTGCCAGCAGCCAGATGATTTTCTCATTAATGAGCTGAACTATTAAAAGATGAAAGAATACAAAGCCAACCCAGCTTTGCATTGTCTGAGTTTCTTTGCTGACATTTTTCCAATTGTCAATTAGTGAAAGATAAAATTCACAAAAAATGTTTTAAGAATGCAGTTAAGACAAATAAAAGCTTCAAGGTTTAAATTCTGTTTCTGATTACATGGATGTGACTCCTTTTAGGCTGTAGTGGTTCTGTATTAATATGGGCTAATGCAGACTTTTTGAATCTCTAACATTCTGAGTACAGGAACACATGGGTACCATTAAGAGACGGAGCTCCTCCTCCTTCTAACAAACATAGCTACTTTCTCACTATGCAGAACTCCTTAATTCATTAAATTGAGAACAACTGATTTATGACATGTTGCAAATGGATCTTTTGGAATAACAGTAATATGTTAGAAATGTTAGAATTTTGGTGCTCTCAGAAAGTCTTATTCAACATCAAGCATAGATGTGTCAAACTCCAATATTGTTAATATTCCAAATTACTCTTAAATTGAGGCTGAACTTTTCCCCAAGCCCAAGTACGAGTTTCTACAGTAAACAGCATACAAGTGAAAAGCCTCATCATTTTGCTTTGCAGTCTAAATGTGGTTACATCTCAGTTGGAGACAACCTTCAGCCTAAGTGCATAATGAGGTTTCTAATCAGTTGTAGAGCCCCTACCACTTCTAGAACTACACTCCTATATAAATTAGAAGTGTTGCCTATTAAAAAAAAAGAAAGAAAGAAAAGAAAACTGTTGCTTGAAAGCAACAGCATCACATTTGGACCACAAAAGTGTACAGAGCAACAAAATGTGGTCAACGCTATTATAGCAATTCTGCCTCTAGAGGGCATTACAAGCCTGCAATGTTATCTCTGACAAGTGGTGAGCATGTTGGATCAGCCCAGAAGATACTTAGTTCTTAAATTGCTTAAGTTAAGAGATTTTCTGTGTTCACAACATCAGCTATGAGGTAGGCAACAAAATTCTTAGGCAGCAACACTGGAAGATCTTTAATTCACAAAGAAACAGCAGATAGCTTTGGTAAGAAAATATGTTATCAGAAGTTTCCTAATAGCCCTGAAACATCTCATCATCATGTGAGATCCTGTGAGCAACCTTCGGTATATAAATATGCTCAGGTGTAGTGAGTTTTCCTTAGTCCTTTTTATGAGTGCTGTGATTCCCAGTGGTCATTAAACCCAAAGATCATCAGCACATTGGTCATTAGCAGAGATGCTTTGAATCCTTGGCAGCTGGCATGCAAGCCAGTGTAGAAATAAATACCATAGTATTCAACTGTATTAAGTGCTAAGATAGCAGAGGGTGTCAAAGTATTAAGTTCTAGGCTTTTTTATGCATTAGACAAAGATATCTAAGTGACATATCAGCAACATTCTGTTACTGAGCTGGTATTACCGGTTCTTCACAGTATGTGCTGCTTCCTAAAGACATTTGATAAGTTACTTCAGCCATGCAGCATGAAAATGCCCAACAGTAATTTTTTTTCCTCTGTGAAGGTGGATTAAATCCATTCCAAATCACAAAAAGTATTTGTGTTTCTGTGGCTGAAAAGCAAGGACCATGCAGCTCAAGCTGTAGGCTGACGGCCATATTTTATTATTGTAGGAAACAGAAACCAGGCTGATTTTGTATAGTTCAGTTTTGATTCTCTATGTTTTGCTATTCACATTTGTTCAACTACAATTGACTGAATTACATTTAATGAGGCTATTATAGTAATTGCTCTTTTTATAAGGACTGACATACAACTTCTTATATTTGTCCATTTCTCTGGCACCTCTGTGATTCTTTTTGATATTCAGATACTGCTCCAAGTAATTTGCTAAGAATCACAGCCAACTATACTTCCAAGAGGTTACTTGTCTTCCAGATTCATCAAGATCCATGAGTTCATTTTAAATTTTCAGAGTGCTCCTTTCCCAGTGCCTTTATCTATACCATCCTGTGTTTCTAAGACTTTGAACTGTGAGAACAGATTGTAACATTCCCTACAAAACAGAAAAGAAAAATCTTAAAAATACACGCCATTCAGTGTTAGTATGCTACGGAACAATAATTTTATTAATGAGGAAAACCTACACTAAATACATTATTTAAAATACATTATTTACATATATTACAAAAAATAATTTGATAATTAAAATGATATAGTAAACTACATAGGAATACAGTAAAATCACTTACAGAATCACTTGGTGTTTATAGCGATAGATTGGTTACATAATGACATCATCAAAATTCTTACTGTATTATTCACTGTATATTGCAGTGAATACTTCATAAAATATAAAAATTCTAGCTTTAAAAGGCTTTAGATCCATTTGCTACCTGCAAACATTTTTATTTAAACAAGAGGTCATCACAAAATTTTCTTAGACAACCTGACACATTCACTGCCTTGCCACAGAGGATTACCAAACGTAAGTGGTAGTATATCCCAGAGTCTCAGAAGTGAGGACCATCTTAGGGCTGAAATTTATCTTTTATTTATTTCCACCCTTTCCATGCCGTCAAGTGTTTCTGGAATGCGTAGCATCTAGTTGGAAATTTGAATTAAAAAAAGTCAAGATCCAGCTAAAGCTTCATTGACTGATATGCTTTTATATTTGAAAATATCTTCAAGTTCATTCTCTCTTACCTTGGTGAATGTGTTTACCTGCAATACAAGATGGCAAAAATAATAATAAGAACATCTCTACAAGATGGAAGAATTAGTAGACGTCCCACTAGAATAAATATCAAATGGTTTATATAAATGTATAGGCAATTCTGGATTCTGACAGAGATTCTACAATGATTTCCTCAGGGTTTTTTTCATACTGAATTCCATTTCCTAAGTGAGCTATGGACTTTCTGCACAAGAGGAAGATTAACTACCAAAGTCATCTGATCATCTGACCAATAAAGCCGTGACTGAATGGAAGGGGTCATTTCCTCTATCATGAGCTAAATATACTACGCAAAACAAAAGGATTCACAGGTTATACAGTGGCCACGCAAAACATTTTGGATGTTATATGCCACAAATTAATAAATTCTGCAAGAACTCCCATTAAAGAAAAGGATTGTCTTCCCTATGAAATATATATGGCAAAAAACAAACAAACAAACAAAACCAAACAGCAGGTAATATCATTGCTACTTCTTTAACTTTGTGGATGTTTAGTTATCTAATAGAATTAATAGACCTTTTGTATGTAAGAATGTTTCTGAGAAGTAGGTAGCTGCTTATAAGCTAAAAATAAGTAATAATTTTTCAAAAGAGGAGGAAAAAGTGGATATGTGTTAGACAGTGAAAATAAATTGCAAGTGTTGGTTTAAATTTTCATCTGTTCTGCAGACTCTTAGCTGTGGAACACCACAGCTAGTACAATGTTGGTTTGCATGGTAGGTTTTGTTTTGTCCTGGGGTCAGAGATATTGAAAGGGAGAAAGAGAAAGGAAGATTAATCTGATAAAGACACTGCCATTTCTAATCGGACTGATGGGAAACTGTGATATGGAGTTAAAGAGGCAATACAGGGTGAGTTATTGTGAAGTGATGAACCACCTTAAAGCTAAAGCAATCAGATAGACAGCTCTCACATATAAAAATTACTGTAGCACCTTTATTCATCAACAGTTTTGCACAAGTCTCTCATGCTTAGTCCCTTCCACTAACAACTAAAGCACTCTGATACATTTGGTCAGATTAAATCTTAATAGGAAGATTCAGCCACTGATGAATCCACTGAATCAAACACTGATGAAGCCACTGCTTCTCACTTTCCAGAATTAGTTTCTTGTTGCACTGCAAAAGAATAAACTTTTCAAAGCTTTAAAATGGGAAAATCAACAATTACAGAAAGATGGTAACACTCAACACTACTTTCCCAGTTCCAGGTGTTTTCCAATGACATGGCATTTTTGGTCTTTTAGCAGGTGTTTTGCTTCTAGTCTCCTCCGTCTAGTGCCTGCAGTTATAACGTACTGTAATGGAACTCAGCCCTTGTGAATGATACCAGGAATACTTTTTTCAGTACTGTTTCACATAGGCTGACAGCTGAAAACCTGGGAAAGCAAAATTTGTAATGCCTAGTGCAGAAAGCATTCACAGGTATTTATACAAACAGAAATTACATTGAGTTTTCTTGTTCATCTAAAGAGCACAAGAGTCACGTTATAAAGATTTTGTAATACAAAGCCCACCATTGAGCAACTGATTCAAATATCATATATTTGATTCAAACATCTTCAAATGATATGATGAAATTCTCATGGTATCCCACAGAATTCAGCAGAAACATCCTGTAAAAATACCACCCGCTCACATCATGTGAAGAAACATCTTATGATCTGGTCCTGAAAATGCTGGTTTTCCCAAAATGATGAGTTCTTTGAGTCCTTTTAAGTTAATGGTACCTGAAGATACTCAACATTTTGTAGGACTGTATGCTAGTGAACACAGCAGTCAGGTATCAGGTTTGCATGATCAAACATGTTTTCATCTTTCCCAGGCCTTACAGGATCATATTCCCACATATCAATCAGCTTAACACAGGACGAGGACTAAATACGTAGTTATAAATGAAGCAAAAAAAAAGTAGATATAGAAAAACATGAAGTTGTTAGAATTGTAAATTTTCAGCAATGAAGTTATCCATTGATAAGATCCTCCCACAGAGGAGCTCAAAGGATTTAAAAAGGTTTTAAAATACAATCTTCCATGTAAACAGTCTATCAAATTCCACTGAAATAAGAGATGGATCAGTAGACATCCAAAACAGATGAATGCTAGCACTAAAAATAATTGACAATAATGATGAACCAAATCCATTTATAGATATCAGAAAAAAAAAAACAGACGTAACTTTTAAACTTAGATTACTCACTTATAAACCTGTAATACACAGAATGTGATCCAAAGTCTTTTACATCATTACACTGGATTTTGTATCATAAAGGATTTATATTCAAATAAAAGATACTATATTCAAAAAGTATTTTGAAGAGTCATCTAGTTTTCCTAAGATATTACACTGCCAAATCTGCAAAAAAGTCTTTGATTAATGTTCAAAGCTGTATTGCTTAAAGATCAAGCAAAATCAAGTAACAATACTTTAGATACAGTATACATCACTTTACAAAAATACTCCGTTGCGGAACATTCAGTCAACAAACTGCTTTGCATTTGCTGAAATATATTTATTGCTTAATTATTAGGAATCTTCTGTTGTGTAGTTTACAGAATGATTAAACTATTTCCCCAGCTCTGGAATAAGTTTTTCCAAACCTTTCAAAGAGAACAATCGATGGTAACACTGTTTGAAAGTCCTAGAGAAATAAGAGAGACAAAAAAAAAAAAAAGGTAAGTATGGCTTTTATGGCTTTATCTGCTGCATTTTAAAACTATTTTAGAGCTATAAATATTGCCTTCCAGTCAATATCACTGTACAAATTAGAATGTAAATTATGAAAAATTATGTATATATGAAACAAACATTTTATATGATATGTACATTATTTTGGAGAGGACATTATAAATTGATTGACTGAATTGCAAGCAAAAATGTATTTCAAACTCTGTATAACTATAAGCAATGCAAAGATTTCTTTCCCAATAAACTAAATTTTACAGTCTTTGCTGAATCACGGTATACGAAATTATATCCTCTGCCCTGGGAACCAGTTAAGTTAAAGATAGCAAGATATCCTTGCAATACATTTTTGCACATTAAAAGAAAGCTCTAGTTGCAGAGAAGGCAAACATATTACAGTTATAACTTAGACTGATCAGTAATTCCGAGCAGAATTCACTATTCTTTATTTTGCAGATAGGAAATATATTTGTAATATTCACACAGGACAATTAGGTACAGTTTAACAGTTCAATAAAAAGGAAGCAGAGAACTTGGGGGGAGATGGGGAAACCAGTAAAAGGTGTACACCCCCAGCATCAGGATAAAATCAGGAATGGGAAGTCTGAGCATTGAAGAAGTCTTCATTTGCTAGAGCAGACGGCTTTTGCTATTCGGATGCCTGGCCAAACAAAAACAATTGGCTGCCAAAATTAGCTCCTTGGGACAATTTAGGAGCCTTTGAAGTAAACAGTTTTTTTGAGCTGGAACTAAGCCCAGGTCCAGCTTCAAACTCAAATCAAAATGACAAAGAGGAAATTTTCTGTGCCACACGCCCCCTCAGTGTAAGATTACTCGGGGCTGGCAGCTGTACTGTTTATCTTGTTATTTAAAGCCATTTCACAAGATACTCACAACTGAGCATTTAAACAACTGGCTTCAATTATGACGACAGCAGTTATGTTTGACTACATTTAGGAAACATCACACAGACTGATGAGTAAATAAATTGGTGCTGGCTGTATAGTTAGGCTGGTTAAAGAAGTTTACAATGAATACTGGATAAATGTTGCACGATGTTCACTCAAAATATAAAAATATATTTTATGAGGAAAAAAAAAGAACCCTAACTATTTATTAAAGTTACAGATTCTAATCAGATTTCAGTGGTTGGAAACTAAAGCTTAAAATGCCACTTATCCTTTTAAGATTTGCCTTGCGGTGCTGAAGAGAGCCCATCCCACTATATCATAACAGCAGCAAAAAGGGAGAACAAGTGGAAGCCAGGATCTTATGTTTCTCTAAATTGATGGTGAAATATAGTTTCAGCTCCTCCAGTAAAGGACTGCAATGCATTGTTGTTTGATTCTGGCACACTGACACACCTAGCCCGGCCAGGATCAACTGAGTTCAAGATGATTGCTACTTACCATAGAAGTTATGTATATAATCCTTTTGAAGCTGCACGAACAAAAGATGTCAATAGAGAAAAAACAGGCCTGATCAACATTACTTTCATCCTGCTAATCCCTTGTTGTTTGGAATGAATTAGCTTACAAATAAGAATTCTCACATACTGGTGAGATTGACCCTACACTTTAGCAGTCTCAGGATCATAGGAGCGTCATGTGAGCTTTACGGAATTTTTTCCACCATACGTTCTTAAATTGTGCCGTGTAATTCTCAGTATCAGAAGATCTGTAATTCTCAGCACCTGAGACCTATTTTTAAATCCCAGACCAAGTTAATATATCACTTCCCTTTTAAACTTGTCAAGCTCTGACTTCTTTCACTCTAGTAAATTGCAAGTGACTGTAGTCCAACTGACAGAGTATAACAAGACCTAGGGACCTCTTCAATGTATTTGACTACTTGACTGTCGTGTGCGCTCATCAGTCCTGGACAATGGAATAAAAAAAAATAGCATGAAGCTACCAAACACAGATTTGTCTTGATCAGTGCACTAGATGTCACAGATTAGACTTGTCGCAAATTCCTCAATAAATGCTTACACAGTTTATATTTGGAATGTTATTGTTAAAGAAACTGTAGAGAGATTTTGTATCTGAGTACAGGGACATATATAAATACGTTGACAATGTACGAATAACTGGCAAACCAGTAACAAGCTTGCAAAGCTACATGTGCAGGTATGAATATCAGCTCGAAGGCCTTGAAAATGTGTTCCTTTATATTTCTAGTGACAAATTTGCTCTAATAGTGCTTCTTTCCAAACAATCTTGAGGGTACTGTATAATTTCCTATCCTATAACATAAAAATGCACTTTGGAATGAGATAGGAATTACAATCAAGTATCATCCTAGAAATTTAATGAGGTAGAAACTCAACTACTTCAATCCAAAGCAAGAGCAGGCAAACAGCAGCAGCATATCCAGTCACAGATTTAAAGGCCAGAAAGTACCATTATGACCATCTTTTCTGACCTCCTGAATACACGCTTCAGGTAATTTCCTACAACAACTCTATCAAGCCCATAAATAATTATGAAGCTGATAAGCATATGATAAACTTGGAACAATAAGCATATGATAAACCTGTGATTTCTGGTATACATTTTTGCACAATTTCATTTTATTGCATGAATATAGATTTGGTAGAATAAATAGAAATTAAAGTTGCATAAGGATGCATGAATACAGATTTCCCTGATAGCTTAGAAGCAACATATGAAGTGGTTTCACAGATCAGTTGTATAACCTCTATAATGAAAAATATTCTTCCTGTACTGGTGATTCAGAGCACCAAGTCCTCTTCTGAGCCAACACAAACAATACAGCAGACACTGTATAATTGCATGATTTCTACTGTGACACCATGTGCTATGCAAATCATAAGCCATTCTGTTCAAGGTTTGGATCTCAGAAAAACTTCAAAACATCTCAGCAATGAGATGTTGCTCCAATAGAGAACTATAGTTGCAGATAACTTCTGTTAAGAATCAACAGCAGAAGGAATAACTGAAAAGTGGGCACAGCTATTAGAATCCCTGCTTTATCTTCATGCTACTGCATGAAGTGAAAATAGAGAATAAAACACACTTTTCCTTATTTTGGAACTAATACCCACAGATACATAACAGGATTTTACAGGATTTGACATAAAAATCTGCAAAAAAATCCATGAGGTGATCTGGTTATGTCCTTACTGCATGACAAATGCACAGTGCAGTCTTGCTTCCTCATCCTTCTTTAAGCTGGGACACAGCTCACATGCACACCTCATCTGACAATCAAGCAGCGCTGCCAAATGCCATTGTAGAGCCATAGTCCACAACCCCTTCTGTTTAATAGTAAGTGTTCATATTAAAGTATTCCCTATGATCCTAATGCTTGTAATAGTAAAATTAGAGTTTTAAATTGAGTTGTCATCATAAGCCTCCTGACCTATTAATAGCCACAGAGGTCTCTAACAAGGAAGCAAACCAGAAATGGCAAGTTGCTATACAAGTAAAATGTTGATTTAGCTAACTTTTATTCTTAGCAAATTTATCAATACTGGTTAACAATACTTCCAACTAGTACAGGGCCTTCTGACATGACAAAACGAGTGTAACAACCCATTCTGTCAATACAACACAAATGTCATTTCAAGTGCTCAAAACCCACTAAGCTACCCTAAAAAAGATTGATTTATTTGCTCCAATGTTTCTTTGGGGCAAACTTTTCTCACAACTGAAACCAATTAGTGGGCCTGGCACTTGTAGTGCAGAATGTAGGTCAGCATCAAGTAATAAAAAAGTATTGACTTTTCTCTGTCTGTAAGCAGCATGAAAGGGGTGCCATGGCCTTGTCGTATATGAAAAGAGCTCCATTAATTTCACTTATTTCAACCAGGGCTGTCAAATACTAATGCTTCTATTGCACTTTTCACACAAAATACATTGACACCAATCCTGGCCCCAGTGAAACAGGTTTACAATATTTCAGTCAGTAAAACGGGTACTATAATTTTTAATTCCCAGTTGTACATTTAGCCTCTTTAAGCAGCCTTGCTCAAAAGACCTATTGAGAGATATAAGCTGGGACATTAATAATGGCTGCACACTTCTTCCCATGGGCAACAGAACCTATTTCTTGAGTCTAGCCTCAACAGTTAATTAGCCGTAAAGTTCAGGGCACAGTTGTTTGGCGTAACTTTGTTTTTGTGGCTGGTGGGCACAGACTGCCAATTCTGCTTTCCGATGTGGGCTAATGTCCAAAAACCAGGAATAGGTCTTCTGTGACTTAAGGCTATAAAAATGAAAAGCTAATGTTGTAACCAATTGGGTCAACTAGCCCCTTCAAATAAGCAATAATAACAAAAGCCTGGATCATGCCTTAGGGACTGTATCTCATCGTGTCAATGCAGACATATTGACTTTCAGGGAGATGTGTACCTAATCGGTGTTCCTTGCACTACAGTGGAGAAGTGACTACTGCTGTGATGACGGGGGTAGAATTATGCCTTTGCCTATTCAGCTTGCCAACACAGTGCAGAGGAGAAAAACAAAAAGCCATCATTTCTTCTTTGGACTATTACCAATTCTAAACCCTCTACATTTTGTTCATTTGGGTAAATGCAAGGAATGAGCTGGTGTTTCCATGAAGACTTTATGAGCTTCTCCATATTGTGGATCAACACAGTGCTGATCAAACCGACCTAAAATATTATGATCCTTTTCCCTCTCTTCTCTGCAATTTCCCTCCTAAACTGGCTGCCTTTTTTGCAAATGAAGTTTATGGTTCTTTTTGACAAGCTTGAGGGCTCTGAGTGTGATGTCTAACTCATTTCCTAATTGCCTCCTGCCAATGCAAACAACTTCAACAACAACAAAACTCTTTGATTTAAAAAGACTGGCTGACTAGGGTAGAGGGCAGTTTTCTACTTCCTATAATGACTTTGTAAGTCCAAATTTTACCCTTTGAATCAACTTGTCATTAGATCTTAAAGTAAAATGACATTGTATAGCCATCATA